ATTCACGCGCCCTCTTCCTCGACGCCCTCCTCGCCACGGCCGACAAACCTAACAGCGGGAAAGCCGAATGATCACCATCACGAGTCAAAAAACATCAACGGCGTCGAGTTGACCCTTGTCAACATCGGCAGCGTCGCCAGGGACCACCTTGCATTGGAGCGGACATACCTCGCATATGTTCGGACGAGCTTAGGAATAGCCTCTGCTGGCGTAGGTTAGCGCGTCTTGTCCCATGCGCAAAGGTACTCCTTTCCTGGACTAATAAATGTTTTACAGCTCTGATGCAGTTCCTTCGGCTTGGGGCCGATACGAGATCTTTCGCAGCACCTATAGGAGCTCTCGTATTGCTTGCGGGCTTGCTGGTTCTATGTTTTGGTGCGCACTTATTCGTTGTTTCCGTCGCGTTCAATGGCTTACCTGGACGAATCTGTAGGAACTCGGCGCTTCTTCATCGTTCAAAGAACGCTGGTATCTGGTCATTTTCCGCCATCCATTTTTGAGATCGTATTCACGAGCGTCGCTCTTGGTTCTTTGGTTGTTGGGATATTTGGGGCCATCATTGCCGCGCAGTTGAGATAACTTGACGCATAGTCGTTCTAAAGTAACAGCTTTTCTTCCCGGTACTGTGATATTTTTCTTACCAAGATTTACGGTTTCATGGAGTGTGATTCCTCCAACTGTGCTGGTATGTCTCGCTCCTTGACAGGTCGTTATTACAGCCCTCGGAACCAAGTTGGCAGGGAGACTGAAAAAGACATGATCCCTTAGTTCAGTGGTAGAATGTATGATTCCAGCCCTCTTCGTCAGGTGCTTCCATAAGGTCACCCGTTCAATCCGGGTAGGGATCATTTGTTTTGTTGCTAATCACATTGACTAGTGATGCATGTATACTGTTTTGAGTAACAGGCGACAGGCCTGAGGCTACAGCTCACAACTGACAAGTATCCCGCGAATACGAAAAATTGTAGTCTTTACGAACTAGTTATGTAATTTTTCCAGGTATCCTCGAAAAAGTACCTCGATATATTCGGTCGCTACATTTTAATCAACAATCCTGAACGTACTGAACTTGTGACGTTCTAAATATCTGGATTCTCCCGAATTCTGATCTGGTCACAGACCACACGGATGGGACACGTACGTCCGCATTATGGTCCGTGACTCTGAACGAAATTGACCGTGTCCCAGGTAAGTAGTTGCTAAATTCCAATCGGTCTCAGCGCTCTCAGGACAGCCGGCAGATTATCTGGCATGAACTCCCGGAGAATGGAAGCAAGTTCTCTCCCGGAGATTCTCCATTTAACAGGTATCGTGGACAAACCTCATTTTAGATAGATGCCATGGTAGGGGGCCCCTGTCTAGTCTTTTTTTCGCCTCTCGGAACCGCATATCTGCAAAAATGCCGTCTTCTACAACTACGAAGGTTCTGTAGATAAATAGAAATAAGGGGGGAATGTGATTTTTTTATGTTCATGTAGTATGTTAAAATTTAAATGTCAGTGCAATTCAAGCCCGGCAATGCTCTTTGATTATCTATTCTATATGGCACCTCGGGAGACTCGGGTAGATAAAAATTCAAGTTCTTCCAAGCCACTGGCCGCGAACACCAAGTGAACACCGTATTTGATCCGTTGCATTAGTTATGTACTAAGCGCCATGTTCGGTGTGGCAAAACTACCGTTTATTCGACAAATTCAGTACGTAAATTGAGCTTGACAAGTAAGCGTATTTATTGCTAATTCAACAAGGACCCATTGACCTATTTGGGCCTACTGAAATATATACCTGAGAACTTGAGAAGTTAGAACTGCAAAGCGTTTGCAAAGCACGATTTGACAAACTTGGATTAATTGCTAGTCAACCCCCATTTTCATAAAGGGGTACCAAACATTGGACTCTGCTAAATCGTGCTTGGATTCTCCCGTAGCTCAAGAAGGAAAGCACGAGGACGACCATAATTGGCTAGTAATACTTGGTAGGAACCTGAAGCACAAGATTGAACCCCATAATCCAAGTACCTAATAGTAAGGCTATCAGACATGGCTGAATCTTCAAGTCGCCGTTTCCACCACGTGCTAAACTTCTCTCAGATCTTCTACACCTCGATTCCAGCAATTTTTGGAAATGGTTTTGACATCGAGTACTTACACAGTACACTACTCTCAACACTACAATTTTCTCCGAATCACTTGAACTTGAACGATAGAATCCAGAAATTCTCGATGACGACCAGAAACATCACCTCCAGTCTCACTGACGATATATTCCGCAGGGTTTTCGAATTTTTTGTCGAAGATGTACCAATAAATATTCCACCGACGGCCACGAAGGACGGCAGATCCACTCTAATGCTTGTATGTCGACGCTGGAATCTAGTCGCTCAATCGACGCAGGCCTTATGGAACCATATTTTATTCTTGGACACTTCTATCCGTCCCCACAACACCCTACATATCCTCCGGCAGTATTTTATCTGCCTCCAACGAAGTCGCGAAAGTCTCCTGACGGTGAAATTTAACGGTAGTACCGATGACTGGGGAACTCTTGCCACCACTATTATTTTACAGCTCTCCAGCAGACGTATGATGTCGTTAACGTGCGCCCCTCCTACATTCCACCAAATGGTTGACTTACGGACCCCTGGCTTTGTCGTACCATGGGGAAACCTCGTATCTCTGGACCTTTCACAGAGCTCTATAACCCCCCAGGCCTTCGTGAATACCATGCGGTACAGCTCAGACCATCTGAAAACCGGTCATTTCTATGTGGAGTGTCGATCTATCCTCCAGCTCTCCTGCGCTTTGTCGCGAAATCCAATCATCATGAAGGAATTATCCGAAATGCGACTACGCCTATCCCATCCCAGTCGTGCTGTCCAGCTATTCCTAGCGGTTCAATATACACACCTTGTTGACTTGTCTATCGAGATGCACGATACGATTCAAAAATGGGAATTAAACCGAATTAAATCTATGCTTTGTAGTTCTGGACATTCACTCCTTCACCTCCGTTTATACGACTTCGCCCCACCAGGAACTCTACCTTCGAGACGACACCGTGCTACATCATACGACGAGCTGGAAGGTCTGCTCGAAATTGTCCCAAATCTCAGGACTTTAGTTCTACCAGTGGGTGTAAATGTCCATGCGCGGACGATAGAGGGCCTTGCCTCGTGCCGCTTGTTGAAACATGTATCGGTGCTGGAACTTGGGGCCACAAACGGGTTGCACATTTTGTCGATGATACGTAGGCGGGCGGAACATGCACAAACCTCGAATCTTGGCCTTGGAAGTTCCAGGAGAATGATCGCCTGTTTCTCGTCTTTGGAGTACATTCGAGTTTCCATTCCGCGGCACTGCCACGAAACGCTATTGGAGGTCGGCACCCTTCAAGATGATCTTTTCGCTTTGGGATTCCCGTGTGATATCCGGATTCGCCTTGACCACGACCTTCCTCTTTCCACGAGGAGAAGAATACAGTAATCGGTACGTCGGCCTAAAATTTATCAGTAACTGCAGATACTGACTCGACTCTTCCTTGCGCACAGCACAGAGGTCTCTTGCTCGTTCAGAAGATTACATCTAGGCCTGCTAGAGAGTATGCTTCTAATTTCTGTCTTATATATCATACTTTTGCATTGTTTTTTCTTGGTGTCTCATTTCTTTCTCGATAAACCGTAGATCTGCTGCCCAAACATTTCACAATCCAAAGTTCGATGTACATATTGTATCCATGTTTGACTTCGCCCTTGATCCATTGACGATATATCTTAATTATTCGCATATGAAAGACCCTGAAGGTATCTTCTTTTACCAAACTGCGAGCAATAGATGTGAGTGAAACGAGCACCGATAAGTACTGTCGAGATTAGAAATATAGCCAAAAATACTGATACTTAAATTATCGGGCCAATATACTGTTCAAGCGCACTCATGAGTCAAGGAGCGTCTCGGTGACTCGGTGTAATAATTTCATTGGTTTGGTCCCCTGCGCCTAGATCTTTGCAACGCCCATATTTTTTGAAAATTCAAGCAGCCGCAAAGCACCGTATGGAGCGTGATTTCTGCATCAATATAGACTCCAATAGATCGCTCGCGAAGGTGTGAGGGATCTGCTACGATCCGAAAGTTGTTTTGGGAGGGATTTCTGAACCTAAGTGGCAGTGAACGTGTAATTGTCAAGTAATTGTATGCATTAGAAAAAACCTGACTTGACTAGTGTATTAAAAAGAAGTTACTGAACTGCTAAGCCTTTAAGCTCACGAAAGGAACGTTGCATTCCATATAAACCAACGCCAATATCGTCGACTCTAACCCGCTTTATAGCTAGCCTAAAATGAGCGATAGGTACTCCAGCAATTCTTGTGTTCGATCTCACTACGAGATAGTGCAATGGAGTGGCACGGCGGAAAATTGAGAACCGATATGCAGGAGGTCCTTTGGCGAAGATGAGCTACGTGTTGGGTGGTTTGTCCGAGGACCGATACTACGCCACGTACATTTTCGTTGTTTCCGAAACACGCTGCACACCGTACGTTTGTCTTGTCCCATGCCATAATTGTATGCCAACTTCTAATCAACTTCTAATAAGGGGAGTTATGCGAGAGCACAATGAAAAGAACGACACGAGCACCAATATCGTGTGTTCTGTGAAAGGAGAATGATGACAACGCCTAGCAACAAAATCAGGGGTCTTTTCTTGTGTATGATGAGCTCAGGACCACTTCAGGTAAGATAGAGCGATATTGCTCACTAGACGCTCACTATCTTCGATCTTTTTGCAGTCCAGTCAGTGATTTTGTGTTGATTAGTGGCGCTTCGCGTCTGCGCCGTCAAGTGTTCAGTGCGCTCAAGGTACGCTTCTGGCGGCAAGTTTGAGTGTTACTTGAGCGCATTCTTGGTGAGGAAGGTGGCGCGGCCTGGGTGCGGGAAGCGCTGACCGAAGCGGAGTTTCGAAAGACTGCTGCCCAACGAAAATTCAAAGGATGTCTGACAACTCGTGGCCCAATGGTCTAGTAGCATGATACGCGCTTCGGGAGTTTCAACCCCGCTTTGGTTTCAAAGCTTTGCATGTGCGTGGTCCCGGGTTCAACTCCCGGTTGGGCCCTTTTTTTAATCCTCTTTGACACGTTGAAAGAGACCGGCAGTAATCAGCTATTTTTATTTTTGAAGGGACCAGCGAGCTGGGAGTTCTTCTGCCTGCCAGACTTACATGAAGATCGTAGATTAATATCAGTCAAAGCGCTCCGTCGAACAGAACTTCGCGCAGCGATTGCGGCTTGAAGTTGGACGATTGGATAATTCCTCAGCAATTTAAGCGTGCATATTTCCCGGGAAAATGGCAGCGTCTGCGAAATTCTCAGAGTATATCCAAGCTTCAAAACATATCTGCAAGCCGCCCCTCGTACCCTGTAACGTGCGCGTTCCACATATCTAGCCATGAGCTCATTCGATTTGTTGGACCGGCCCCATGATGTCGGCGCGCTGTTTCGCTCTCAAAATGACTATGGTATCGCGATTTCAACAGCCTGTGCTGTTTGGGCTTTGCTCGCGTGCTTCAAAATTTACAATGATCCTTTCCTTGACTGAGCTTCTACCTGAAAAGAGCTTTACCCAACGTACAAACTGACATACGTGCTTCATTACACTGCTTTGATAACAAGCCTCAACATTGATTGTCGGGGGCGTGTCCGTGCAGGAGACGGCGTGTTTATGACAGCGTGAGTGATGTTACAACGAATGTAGTCGAATTCGTCCCCTGCGACGGAATCGCGACGTGTTGCGAGCGGTTCCATTACGGCGGGGGCATCGTCATGAGTGGTACACGGACTTGAAACCACACTGCCATTCCTGCGCCGCCAGTCGAAGTAAGCGTGACTAGAACCTTCGGTCTAGCCTATGCGGAGCGCTGTCGCATATTCGAAGCGGCTTTAGGAAAGTTGAAGCCTGTCCTATCAACCACGACCTGCACGGTGCCATTTCCGTCACGACACAGTGCCAACGGCACAACCATGGCGGGTGCATCGACATGCAAAACACTGGCTTGTGCGTCGATCCCGTCATCTCTAACTCTTGCGCCGTCTACTGCAGGAGACCGGGGCAATGTCGAGTTGTCCGCTACGTCGCGAGACGATGGAGCGCTTCGGGAATGATAGAACGCGTTATGACACCAACAGCGTTCTGCTCCCTCGCGTTTTCCCGGCGCGTTGCGCGCGGTGCAGCCACGGTGGGCGCAGAGGCTGGAGGGGAACCAGATCTCCTGTACTGATAAATATGACTCTCAGCAGAAGATCAGCCTTGAAGGTGTTGGAAGACGCCTCACCGTTGGCGTCCTTCGTGGCTTCGCTCTCGCTACGCGATGCTGGAGGCGCGATTACGGTGGGTTCGACCGCATACAGAACACCCACATCGACCTCGGTGCTTCCGTTTTTGGTTTCTCCAGCGAGGGACGGTGTTGACGGCTTCGTATGTTGGATAGAAAGGTGACAAATTCTACTCATTTGAACGCAACGTGACGGGAGAATTCGCAGGGATGAGTGATTGGAATTGAGACGCGGTGCGCACGAGGACACCGCCTAGAATCAAGGATACGTGTTGAAGGAGCGTGTTCATTAATGCAATGTAGAGACGCTCAGGAACTTGGCGGCTCTTTTGGTGTTGAGGCTGCTTCAGTCGGGACGTGACCTCGAGCACGAACTTCCATGGCCAGATTGGCATTAAATCCACGATCGGAACCAGCTCCCGGAAGATTCACTCGTTATGCGGTACCATGCTCAGGCCACCAGACGCCCAACCATCATCTCCATGTGCTAAACCAGCCGGCTAGGAACGTCAGCGTATTCCAATCCCGAAAGACATCGACCGGCTTGAACCTTACCTGAAAGCGGATCGATCCCGAGCTCTTGCACGACGACCGTAACGATCCTKATGAATGTCGCYCCAAGTAGGCCGTCATCGTCGATGCYCTTGTCCACCGCGCTCGCGCCATAGCGGCCCCCACARCCGTTTCCACCCTCGCTTCAAGGAGAGCCCTCTGCCGGACGTGCGGTGTGGTGCACGCACAGCATACGTCGCACGGCATCGCTCGTACCAGCGGTGCTCAGAACTACGTCCAAATAAGGCTGAATGCCGTCAGTTCGGATAGAGACGGCAGGGAAAGAGCCAGGACATACATATTGGGGGCGGGGGGTTATGGCGGGCGCAACGACGGCCGACAGTTGGTCGTTGAAGTTCAGGTTCTGTGCTTCCAGCGCTCATGCAGGCTATCGGTAGGCAGTGTTGGACTGAGCAGAGGTACATCGATTTGCAGCGCGCCGCCGGCCCAGTCAGAGCGACAGGGGGAAGGAGAGAGGGGGGGGGACGGCGATGGACATTGGGCCGAAGACCAGAGGCGTGAGTGCTGCGATAGCGGTGGGGGCGATACGCGTGTGCTCGAAAAAGACGGGTGGCAGGCGATGCATATTTCGCCGTGGGCAAGCGACACGCGCAGGTCGAAGCGGTGCTGGGCCGGATACAGCCGGATGCCATCACGCGTCCGTCATACTCGACCGTTTGTCAATTCTCTCTCCTTCGCCGTAGCCTCCTCCCTGTACTTTACCGGTTGAACGGACGAACTGATACATCTATACCGAAGACTGATATCCACGCGTAACACGACTGAACACTGCTAAATGCTCTTGCCACGCACACACCGCTCGCGCGCAAATGTCGTTTGTTGATTACGTCGAATATGTAAATTGTATCTCGCTTGTCTCTACATCGTTGTTTGAACGTCACCTCCGAATGCTGTCACGGTGGTTGAAAACCTGGCTTGTGGCGTGAAGGAATAATTTTCGTTGGTCGCCTAATGCACTCGATGTAATTTGAGGCGGTGGATCTCGGCGGCACGGCCCGCTACGGAAAAGGCTTCTTTTCCCCCACCGCGACCTCACCTCAGCCTACTTTGGCATGCTCCGCCTTGGGRGGACGAGCTCCGTCGTCTTCAACAAGCTCAAAGCTCCCGCTTCTCTGCGACYGTTTGTCTCTKCCTTCCGGAGCTCCATCTCCACCACCCGTTCGCTGCCACGTCGCGCCTTTTCGTCTATGACCGAGTCTCCAAACGACCTCTACGACTACACTTCTGGGCGTTGGGTGTAAGTCTCATAAGYGTTCTTCTAGCGCATAGATATCTGACCTGTCATCTCTATCGTTAAGTTACAACGACGCTCTTCGCCACARGGAGCGGAGGGTCGCCTTCGATGTCGACGGGCTGTGTCGACTTGCAGCCGAGTCTGTGCATCAGAGWCCTGCGGATGTCGTCAGCATCTCCAAGCTCGCTGAGGGCGGGTTCAACCGCACCTTCGTCGTCGCTCTRCACGATGGTCGGCAGGTGGTCGCCCGGGTTCCCTACCCCATGACAGTCCCTGACTACTACGCCGTCGCCAGCGAGGTGGCCACTATCGACTACCAGCGGTCCTGCGGGATCCCTGTCCCTGAGATATACGGGTACTCGACCGGCTCGGACAACGTCGCTGGAACCCCGTATATTCTTATGGAGTTCGTTCGCGGCCCAAAGCTTAGCGAAGTCTGGTCTRGCCTCGGGGACGAGGAAGTCATCTCCGTCATCCGCCAGCTCACYCAGATYGAGGCACGCATGATGGCTCAGCCATTCCCCGCTGGCGGGAGCCTATACTTCACCGAAGACCTCGAGAAGGTCGCCCCAGGGCTGGGCGTGCCTCTGGAKGACAAGCGTTTCTGCGTCGGCCCGGACACGAAGCTGGCGTTGTGGTATGGCARACGGGCAGGGCTCGACGTACATCGAGGACCATGTATGCCACTCTCCGCCTCTTTGTTATTACGYCCTCGAAYYAACTGGTATCTATAGACCATAGCRCCGAAGCAGCTCTCGCAGCAGCGGCGCAGAAGGAGATCGCCTRCCTAAAGCGCTCYGGACAACCGCTCCTACCGCTGCGGCGCGAAAGGAGGCCCAGTTATAAGTACCAGCAGCAGTCGCCATCGGACCACATCGAGAACCTGGAGCGGTACCTCAGCATCACGTCGTCGCTCGTTCCTAGCGACCCCGCTTTAAGTCAGTTCTACATCCGCCATCCAGACTTCCAGCCGAACAACATCTTCGTGTCATGGGAGCCCGGCTCCGACTGCAAAATCATCRGTGTCTTTGACTGGCAACATACCTCTATCCTACCCATGTTTCTCCTCGCTGGCATTCCCCAACGCCTCCAGAACCACGCAGATGGTGCGTCKCAGTCCATGACGCCGCCCTCTCGACCGGAGAACCTGGACGAGATGAGCGAAGCTCGGCGAGCCGGCGAGGAGTATCGCTACCGTTGTCGCCTCGTTCACTATCTCTACRTCAACAGCACGAGGGAGTGTAACCCGCTCCACTACGCCGCCTTTATGGACCGTCTGCACGCGCTCCGTTGCCRACTTTTCCTATAYGCTGGTGGCCCGTGGGAGGGTGAGACCTCCGACCTGAAGGCTGCGCTTATCCAAGCCACGAACAAGTGGGAGGAGCTTACGGGTGGAGGCGTGCCGTGTCCCCTCGAGTTCGACGCCAAGGACTTGGACGATACGGCGGTGCTGGATAAAGAACTGAGCGAAGCGACCAGGGGCTTCGAGCGCTTACAGTCTATGCACGACGTCGGGGAGGAGGGCTGGGTRCTGGTTGAGGACTACGAGCGTGCCGTGGCTTTCTTCAAGGAGTGCAAGGAGGAAGCGTTGGCGGGGGTTCAGTCGCCGAAGGAGCAGGAGGAGATTATGGGTCACTGGCCGTGGGACGACATGGACGAGGATATGTATATGTAACGACGCGTGCTAGATACTGGGTCCTGCTCGGCGACTGATCGCAGCCCACGCTGTTCGCACGACGCCTGCTTCGTCAACCACGATGACGACGTCGACCAATCCAAGACCCCGCCGTCCACACCGCGCACGACATCGCCTTGCTCGCTCTAGGTGCGCCCGCCCCGCTGGCCTGATCCACGCAGGCTCTAACGTCGCTCTTCGCGCTCTCTTCGACGCGCACGCGCTGGAAGCCGCCGACAATGCTCTATGAGGCAATCTGCCGTGCCCTCGGCCTCCAGCTGCGCTCCGCCGCCGCCCGCATCG